GGTACATAATATACAATATACCTCATAAAATAGTCTCACTATTATTTCTGGGTTTTTCTGTTACATTTGTTCTGTTATAGCATATGGGGCTCGATCAAGATGATAAAAAAATAAGGCTAGTGTTCCACAAAGTAAAGTCCTTGGCTTTATTTGTTTTCATTATATACGTCCGGCATGCCATAAAAAAACCTGTAAATTATTGCAACGTCTTCGAATGACATTTCTTTCCTGGATGTGAATAAAAAATTGGTGCGAGGAGTAAAATCACATTAGTAGTTGACTTTGTACTGTCAAAGTAATGTATTGACTGTAATAATATTGCCAGTTCTCAAAAAAATCTTAATAAACAATGTAGCTAAAAAATAAATACCTATAAGGGGCAGCGTTGTGCCTTCTTTTAAACCCATCCGACCTTAATATTATTTGTTATATAATCATATTGAAAAGATCTAAAAATAGCCATCTTCCAACTTTCATAAAGATTGCATTGTGTATACTAAAATTAATATATGTTGGGTTCTAGGTTCCGAAACGATATAAAATTTTGAGTATTTTCTTAAAGTAAAAGATTTTTTGAGAAATTTTTAATTCGAATTCTTGGAAATAGGTGTAAAATATTTATTGGAATGGTCAGAACGAGTAGACTACATGTTTTTACATTCTCTAATAAAAACTCAACAATTAGGTTTGACATCGTTTTATTCGTAAAGAGGTTTAGTTAAATCAAGATAAATGATATATATATATAATATAAAATATCTTCTACAAATTTCTACAAGACGATTTCATATTTCAATTTTTCGAAATACAATTCAAACTGAAATAATAATTTAATTAGTTGATTTGTTTTAAAGAACTGTATTACAGGTTATAATGATTGTAATTTAGTTTACATATCATTGACAGATTTTAACTCATTCGATATTCAAATAAAAAATCTCGTAAAAATCTTTTCAGTGGTCAAACAGCTCCACCAATTTATACTAAATCTTAAAACCGAAGCTCTTCCGATGTATAACTTTTGTTAATGAGTCATCATTAGCTTTCGTTGGAAGGGACTCCACCACCAGTAAAATCGAGTTTAATTTGTTTTCTTGTTTCATAGTAAGTATCTCTGAGACCGCAAGTAAATGGATTGTGTATAGATATTCTATTTATTTTATATATAGTATCCTGAAACAATAATTTTTTTTTGGAAGTTTTTTGGAGATTATATTTTGTTATGATTTTTGTGTTAGTTAAAATTTATTTTTGTAGTTAATAATCACTTATTCAAGTCATGATATATTGGCATAGATAACCAGTTGATTTCATGACTTATCCAATTCAAGTCATGAAAATACGCAATTAATATGTTCAATCCAAATTTATTCTGGGCCATTAAGCCAAAAAATTATTTTAATTTTATTTCTAAATATTTTAAGCAGAAAACACAATATTTATATACCATACATGTGTCATCATTTTTTAATTATAAATTTTAAGATAATATACATAACAATATTTGAAAAATATATTACTATAAGGCTGTAATCGGTTCTGTAGACACTACAAGCAAAGCAACCACTTCATTCTAATCAAAGTAATATTACCTATGACCTATCGCATTGGGAAAAATAATTATAAAGGCTTTGTTGAGTTATATACTAGTTATATAGTACATGTATATATAGTACAATCTATATAAATTATCGAACGCTGTCAACCTTGATACAGAATTCGTTTTCTTCAACACCAAAAATAAAATTTTCAAACTTTCTTAGAATGACAGAGATATGAAAATATGTACTAGTTTACTTTTACGATTTACTTACATCAGTTTTGGTAAGAAACTCTACGACTACGATCGATCAAGTATCCAGTTCTTCGTTGACTTTTTCCTATGTCCGAAGCAAAACTAAGCATTACCGACATGAAGTTTGGAGTCGATTATAGTATCAAAAAAACTGAACTTGCATAAGGAGATGAAAACAAAGAATGTAAAAAGAATTGGGTCAGGTATTCGATACATCATAGTTGTAATGCACTCGATGAGATCTATTTTAAAAGCGGAAAAATGAATTTTATATATGGTAATTTTTTGTCGTTTATTTTGTACATAGATTTATTTAAAAACTATTATAGTATACTTCAATAAAATTTGTAAGGTAGTTAGTTATATATAAATATATTTAGCCACCTTATATATAATATATGGAATTATAATTATTTATAAACATCACTTGCCAGCTGCACATCTCTGCCTAGAAAAGATTTGTATTTTTAAAAGTCCTCGAAAATTACAATAGCTTTTATGACATTAAGTATGGATTTAATGTTAGTTATCTATATTCCACAAAATTCACATATAGTTTGGTTAATTATTAATTTCCGAAAAATATTTTAAAGAACACCACTGTCGAAAACTTCTTAAGCTCATTGCTTTATAACATGAATAGATTTTTACAGTAGAGTATTGATGTTAAACGATATGTTGATATATTGACAAAATACTGTCCATTAAATGGTTGCATACTTTGAGTACCACAAAACATTATTTGCTTTCAAAATTACATTTACATACATATGTGTAGTTAAAATGTAACTTGTTACAAAGACTTATAATAATGATGACTGGTTCGTCTTCATCCATAAAATATTCCAGAACATTAGAATAACTAGACAAATTGACTTAGAAATCATAAAATTTAACAGTAAAAAGAAATATATGGATATGAAATCAATGTCACGGTTTATTTTATAATCTGGATATCAAATCAAACAAAGATCAATATATTTGTATATATGTGTATATAGATTTCTATATATCCATGTATAAAGTTCAATGTTTTTCAAAGTAAGCACACATTAATTAGTTTAAAAGTCTTTCAAGAAGTTCTTCTTCAAAGTAGTTTATTTATACGAGAAATTCTTTCGTTCCAGAAATGAGAGAAAATTGAAGAAAATCTATTGTTTAGATTTTTTTACATCAGTTTTTATAGATATAAAGTATCGTATATTATATATGGGTTTAGTAATTAATACCCTCGTTTTAGAGTTATGGTTTAAAATTTGTTGGTCTGCATTAGCACTACTGTTATGAACCCTCACAAGACGATGTGAAATTTTTTTACAGTGCACTAAAACTGCTGTGACTGCTTCCTCAAGCATAAGGATCATTATCACTATAATGAGCATAGTTCGTCTGAAGTTAGTTAGTAAGACATCTGTTCAAATGTCACAGTTAATGGTGAGTGAATTGTACTAAAACACAAAACTAAGTAATCAGTATGTAGAGTCTTAATTTTTACTGAAGTGTTTGTAAGCGCGCTTCTAATTGAAATTCAATTACTATTAATATTTGACTAATTATATTGCTAGCATATCTTTCCACATACAAATAATCGTTTTGCTCAAAAAAATTACATTAATTTAGCAATAATTTATAAGAATTTGAATGAAATTATAGCGCCAAATATTAATAAACAAATAAAAATGTCATTTGTAAGTATTTTTATTAGGTTTTTTATTTTATTAGAATAATACTCAATTTATATAATTAAAATCCACCTAAATTTCAGAGGTTATCAAGTTAAGAAATTATAATTACTTTGTGTATAATTTAAACAATGTTTTGATAATTAAATTATGCACTTGATTGCATATAAACAACATTTTTAGTTTATATAGTTTTAATGATTTTTAACGATAACATCATTTTGTCTGCCATCTCTGCTTTGAAGCCAAAAATAAAATATTATTTTTAATTTTATGGGTTTAATGGGTTTAAAATAATCAAATTTTATAAAAATTAGATCTTGGGAATATTTCTTCTTTTATAAATTTACTGCGATTGGATTTTATTTATAATAACATTTATATTTAAAACGGCATAAAGATTATATATAAAAATTTAAAATATATATGAATATAGTAAATTAAGAATAATGACTTTATAATACTTTAATAATAATATTGACTTTTAAACCATAAAAGATAATAGCAGTGAAGTTAGTAACAGTTTATTATAAATTGTTAAATTAACTACAACATTAGCTGTAGGCACTAAGTCTTTTAAAAACTCACTTAGTTTGAAAAGTGGTCAAGTTATAGATTAACTGATCTGAAAATAGCTCATAAACACCTAAGAAGAGTTCCTCTATTGTGATTATGAAAAAAATGTTCTTGGGCTTCAGCAAAATCAAAGTCAAACCAACCCATTTGGACATGAGATCTTTATTTTCCGCTGTTAAAATGAAGACTTTTTCTCATTTTCCATGGTGTTGATATGCATCTAAATGCCAAGATATTAGCAATGATCGCTATAAAGTGTATGTTTAATATATCTAAATAAATCGAGTAACAAAAATCGGATTTCAAAGGGGACTCAATACGTTAAATATCAGAATACTATTATTTAGGAGTTACAGTTATGCCCAAATAATGTTTCCAAAGCATGTAAATACAGCATTAAAACTGTTAAGAATTTCATTCACGTGACCTGCAGAACATAGGGGCATTGAAAACATATAGAAAGAAGGATACAAACATTTTTAATTAAACAAATCAGAAAACTGCTGTAACCGAAATAAAAATGCTTAAATGGAATTGGATAGGGCTTACTATTTAACGAACAAATGAATAGATTTCACGACAAGCTTTAACGTGGAACTCACAAGACAGCAGAAACCCCAATTACAAAGCTCTGGCTTTAACTTGGAGAAGAACAATTGAAAGAGAAATGACAGAAGCGCACTACACATTAAACGATATATGCAGAGAAACACTTATCAGAGTGCGGTTAAAGGGAATCGTTGCGATCCTATGCCCCACTAGGGGACACAGACACTAAGAAGAGAAGAAATCGCTTAACATTTGAAGATTTTGTATGTCTCAACAACGATCGACGACAGCTCATTTGTTAAGATCGTATTTTTCTCTTACTTTAAAGGGTTTACTTTTCTTTTTAATTTTTAAACCACTAAAGAAAAAGCATTATATAAACAAAAAATATACTTCATTTATTAGCCTTTAACCATTAACAAACAATACTAACAAACAATCGCCTTAAAAAATAGAGTTGGTCAAAAATCAATTATAAATAAATTATCTGTAATAACAGCTTAAAACAACATAACAACCAAATATTTAAGATTTCCAATAAATTATCACAAAAAAAATTTAAAGTATAAAATAAAAGTTTCATGTCGTTATCGTTATGTTTGGTGCAGACATCTTCTTCTTCTTGCTAGACTGTACGGAACCTTAATTGGGAAGAGAGATGATAAAAAGTTTAATATTATTTATATATTTGCTAGATTGTATTAACTTACATTCAATAGATGTATTACTGAATTGTGCTAAATGAAAAAAAAGCATTACTTAAAATAAATTTAAATAAAATAACGGCTTGACCCCACAATCTATTTTGGTAATTCTCTCAGGTGAATAAATTCCATGAGCTCTAATTTTCGGAAACAATCATTTTGTACATGTGCATTTTTTAAAATATGTAGAATTTGGTTGTAACTCTAAATAAAGACATGTCATTTTATATATGGTAGTTAATTAAAAATTTATGTAAAAACGCAAAGTTTCTATCGATTTTGATTACTTACATTGATTTAATAGTGGAATATTGAAGTTTCTCAGCCACTCTAAAACTTAGAGCCAAATGAGAGAGCTACCTCCGCATAGGTTGGCTTAGAAGTTGTTGCAGTTTCGCTTTCACCATTATTTGTGAGGATTGAGCAAGTGTAAGGAACTGGTACCGTGCATTGTTTATTTTTCTTCTTAATGTCACGTGACTTACATCCAAGAGGAGGGAATTGCATTTCATTGTCAATGTCAAACATTTGATGAGATTCCGACGTTTGTGTCGATTTTGTACGAGATATCTCATAATCTCCTTGAATTGTTGGTTTAGTCCAGTTCTCAAGAATCTCACGTTGGCTCAAATCAACTATTACTTTATACTTACTGATTCGGTTCTGTGTTATATCAAAAAAGTTTTTACGCTTCTTCTGTGGATATATAGTCTGTGGTTCGATCGAATGAATTATATCCATATGTCTCAAATAATGAGCTACAGTTGGAAATATTTTATCGCATTCTTCAAACAAACAGGGAAAATGATTGCGATCGATATGTTCGACTAAATCCTCATGGGATTCAGTTACAACATATTCATTTTGTTCAGCGCACAAAGAGCAGTAATAATGGCACACGAGGGAATGAAGAAATAGAAAATTTATTCCAAAAAATCGTTTGGCACAGAATACACATGTTGGATGACCACCTTCTGTTAGATCACCTTCATCGCCATTTTCGTTGTGATCCACTAATTGTTCCTTGGAGTAATATTTGCGTTCATTAGAGAACATATCAATGTAGTTGATGCACAATTCACAATAATGTAATTTGTGTATGGCCGCCATATGAGATCGTAATTTTACAAAACTTTCGAATGGCCGTGCAGTACATTTGGGACATTTGTGATCAGTCATTTTGTGGAATACATTTTTTACTTTCTTGTTCAAAAACTGAACTTTATGTTTATGACTGTAAGTAATCGTATCAAAATGTGTTGTTTTCAGCTCGTTATAGGGGCCTTTCATATCTGTTATCAATGGAAAGCAAATATCACCTCGACAAAGTGGGCAGCAATTGTCATTATGCAAGAACTTCATACGAGTGGCACAATCCAGACAAAGTGGATGATTGCAGTTCGGAATGGAATATATTTTAATTTCGTTTAAACAAACAGGACAGTTGTTACCAATATTGTTGTGCTCTGCGACAACAACATCATTTTCCAATGGCAACAAATTTGTACCGTCCATTACTGATTTATAATCCGTACCACTCATTTAGAATTTGTCCTCAATGATGTATCTTCAACGATGTATCTTTCAGTAATGGAATTGAAATTCTTTTAAACTGATGTTTAGTTTATGACTTTTAAAAATTTTGATGAAATAACAAAGAAAATTTTAAATGTCAAAATTTTCTTTGGCGACTTTGTTTTGACAAGTAAGTGATTAGTTTTGGGCTATGTAATATGGAGAGCCATGTTCAGATCAAATTCAAAATTGTTGATGTTTTTAATGCAATTTAAAAAATTTAAAATTAGAAATAAAAATATGAAATATAAAAATTTTGATGTAGATTTTGTCACGGAAACGAGGCTTTGTGTGCCTCGTTACGGTGGTCAAAATAGTGGTGCTGATAGTATTAAATATCAGAATTTGCGCCTATTAGAAGAGAATATATATATTTTCGTATGAATATCAAAACAAAAATAAATATTATTTAAATTTAGTCTCAAAAAGTGCATTAAAATAGTAGTAAATGTAGAATTTTTAGGGTCGAAAAGTGTATTGAAATAGTAGTAAATGCAGAATATTTAGGGTCGAAAAGTGTATTGAAATAGTAGTAAATGTAGGATATTGACAACAATTATATGATACTCTCTCAAAAGGTATAAAATGCCTTTTGATCGAAACTTAATATTGAATTATTTAATTCTGCAACTGTTTATTGTTGTATAATACTTTTATACGTCTGGACACAGTTGTTAATATCTGATACTGAGCGAAAGTGTCAGAATTTCGACCAATTACAAGAAAAAAGTTTGTGCAGTATTGTCACATTCCTAAATCTAACATATGATCTGTGGAAATGCAATGTGAAGCAACCGTTATTTTGGCTTCCATACTGACATTATTTTTTATGCTGTAGTTGTGTCCAACTATTCTTATTCTTAATTTATTTTTGATCGTTCCAGCATATATACCTGGTCACGTACGTACTCAGCTAAACGGGTCTATAAAATGTATTTCTCAGCAAACTAAACTGTTTGAAAAAAATAATTATAATGAGCTCATATACTGGCAAGGATATATGGCGACGAAGTGAACTACTATCAGTATTTATTCGATTTTGTCCTGTCAGACTTTTACTTTATTGGAAAAATATATACGCGAATATAAGGAATGCGTGACATATGTAGATGCCATTCAAAAAGCTTGTTGTGTCATCTTGTCTTAAGTTTTAGTGCTGCCAAATTCAAAAATCAATCTATTTTATATACAACTCTGAAAGAAAAAAATGTAGTTCATAATAATTATTTCGAAAATTTATTGATAGTTTAAATGGAGTAATCTATTTTTGCATTAATGTTTTTAAATAAATGCACAGAATTAATTACAAAACAATTTGAAATACAAAAATGATTACTTGAGCTTACACATCACATTCTGACTACGTCTATGAGGTTACTTATAGGCCAATATGCGCTTCAGCTGGTTATTGTAAAAAATAATAACGACACGGATATGGCGAGGAAATACTTCATGAAGCACTTTCTCCATTTTGGTTACTCTCATAACAAAAAATTACAAACCTTATGACTTAAATCGATCGGGCACATACATTTAATACATTTAATTTTTTAAATATGGATTCAGGATGGTAACTGCAATATGTAAAATCTATACTATATAGCAAAAAGAACTAAGGCTCTTGTGTTCCAATAAGATCTTATATATATTGTAGGACGTTGGGACAGCGCACCGTCTAGCAAGTGGCCCCACTGAAGTGAAGGATTAATCGACCTTATATAGGAATTACTTCATTTTGGAGCTTTAGCATAACATATCAAGGACAAATGATATATTTTAGGTTCTAGTATGATCGCGTACAGAACGATTGCTTTGTATCAAATCAGTGGTAAGAGGATTTTTGTATATTATTATATGGTAATTGTCCTGTCTGTCCATCCAAATTGCTGGTTTGCATATCTCACTATACAATTCCAACTTTATTTGTATGTAGAAATTTTTTGAGGTAAATAGTTCTATTGGGTTTTTATGAATAGGATTAAGCTTTTATCTAATTTAATTATTTATTTAAATTATGCTTGAATCAATAATTCAACAACACTCAGTGCGTAATTTTGTAACATAATTCATTTAAATTTGTTTTTGTTGATTAATTAGAAAAACTGTTTACTACAAAATAGTATGAAACTGAAGAAAATAATATAATGCTAATGACTTAAGGGTGAAAGTTTACTATAAAATATACTATTTAATATAATTTATTGAGCTTAGTGTATCACAACTTTGCTAGTTGAATGTCTAACTAAACGTCAAGTGAATATTGTTTATTCTAAAATATATTCAAGTAAAATATTGCTAACCTTGAGGTATTGGCATTTAAATTACTGGATTTTTCAATTTAAAGAATTCGAAAATTTTAGAATGATGTTTAAAAATTATAGTTCACATTATCAGAAACTCGACACTAAAATTTCAATATTATTTTAAAAATAAATGTTTTAATCAATTCCTAATTAACCTAATTATAACGTATACAAAACAAATTAACAAATTAATTGCAGTAAAAAAAAAATTAATCAATCAACAAAAAAATATTCAGTCATCTAAAATTAGAGCCGTCCATCAAATGCAATACACCCATCCTAGAGCTTAACATGTCTCGAAGGTAGTTTGAGGTAGCATAGTCTTCAATTCCTTCAGCAAACTTTCTTTGATGGTCTCAAATGACTTGAAAAATTTTCCTCGAAGCAGAAATTTTATCTTTCTGTAGCAGCAAAAGGACCTGCGTCGTTCATGACAGGTGCATAAGGCGTTTAGCATGGTTATAGCTAAATTTGAAGCATGTCCCCGTTTAAAACTGGAAAAATAAAGATATTTGAATGAATTAATCAATAAAGTTTTGTTTATATTATTTAAAAAAAAAATATGTAATTAAATCTTAAATGTGGTTTTAATAGTTGCATACTAACTACTTTGATCTTTTACATACCCGAACTAACTACTTTTTTCGTTTGTCAGAATGTGTGGTAAGAAATCTTTGATCAAAATTTTATTGATAGTAATTTTTAGCATTCTATTTTTCTTTCTGAAGAGTCTCTCATCTCATCTCATATCACATCACATTGTATATTTTTTTCCAATGTTTATACATTGTCAGTAGCTTTTGGTAAAGATTTGCGGTCATTATCTTCAAGATTCCGGTAATTGTCATGCAATTAGTCAAGCAAACGGAGAACTTTTGAGCGGGATATATATTTATCTACGTCTATATATTTTCAACATTATATGGTAAATGCTTTTGAACCACTTTTACGGAATTTGAAACAGAATTTAACATACGCTGTTGGAATGTCCAACGCTTGCGACAGAAATGCTCATGCACCAAGAGCTTTAGTGTATCCTCTAAAATAATTTCCCCAAAGATTTGGGCGTTTATTTTCATTCCACGGTCGATGAAAACGAACAAAGAGTGACTATCGGCTGTTACGGCGGCCCACACCATCACTCTCGGTGGCGCCTGCTCTCTGACAAGTAAACTCGATCATTTTACTTTTTTACGTACTGTTCAATTACGATAGGTGACTCATCAGAAAAAATCAAAATCGGTAATCCATTACTTTCAGTCAAACAAACCAACACTTTGGCTCTTTCGACTCTAATTTTTTTTTGTTGATCGGGGAGATCATATACTTTGTTCAACTTTAATGGCTTTAGTCTGAGCTAACTTTTCAAACTTTTCGCTTCCTCATTTCTTCACTTTACGAATTATTTCTGGTGTTGTTACTGTTTTTTTTTTTTTTGATCGACTTTCTGGGCATCGGGTAACGCTAGCAGTGTGACGGTATCGAACTATCGTACGAGACACAAATGATTTGTTCACATTTAGGTGTTGGTTGGCTCGAACGATAGCTACTTGTGTTTACCACAATTGAACTCCATCACATATAACTTCACATATAACTTATAGAAATATAACTGAAAAATCAAAATGCCTTAGTACGCTTGCCAACAAGACAATAAACTCTCAAATGAATTGATTTTGAGCTTTCTGTCATTGCTGATTTGACAGCTAGATCGGTGCAAAACTTGTTGCAATTCATATTACCCACCCTGTATATATTATGTCAAGTCACTATGAAATTAAAAGTGAATTAACTTCAAGTTTATCAATATGTTGATAAAGTATACTTTATACACCATTCAACTACCATCTTTAGCTCATATACGTCGATGTGTTAAGAATTTTAGTGGAATCATTGCCATCGAATCTGAGACAGACTGTGTATTTGATATTTCTTTGTCTGCTTAAATTACGAAGCGGCGGTCATTTGTTAACAACTTTAGAATAGCTTGCTATTGGCGTGACAGTACTCTTTTGAGTGTATGTAGGGGTCTAACCTACCGAATTTGATCAAAAAAAATATAAATTTTAATTTAACTACAAAGCTTAGTAGCTATTTGACGATTAAAATTATCTTACAAAGTATTTCGTTATAAGTTTGAACCACTTTATGTACTTTTTTCATAAAAGCAGCTGAACAGATAACAAAATTTAACAGTTCAAGTTCTTCATCTGAGACCATCAAATTAATTACTTCATCACTTCAAATAAATACTTCATTTGATGAAGAAGTAGATCAAGCTAATGCCGTCTGGGAGAAAAAAAATGGAAACTGATGGACTTTTTATAGTTTTTTTTTATTAAAATAGTGTCTGTCTTTAAAACGGTCTTTGAAATAGTGTCTTAACCGTTTTAATTACACATAATTAAATTAAATATAATTTATGTCGGAGCGTGTAAGTAAATAATTTTTTTCATATGTTGAGCTATGAAAAAAATTTGAATTCACTTGTAATTCAAGTTCAAGGTTCCTCAAACCTTTAGTTTGTAAATTTTTGGAACTCGAAACCATTGCATAATTATTCGTTACGCTTTGTAATTCGGTAACTGTTGTTGTAATTACAAAAACAAACTTAATGGACGGACGTATATAATGAAGCATTTGAAATTCGCTTAAATGCGATTAACGCGGTCAATGTAAGATTTTTTTTAAAATGTTTTATTTTATTTTTTTAAATAAAAGCTTCAAATACTTAACATTTGCCAACGTACAGCTACGAACACAGTACGTGATTATTTGAAATTATTGCTTTCAACAATATATTTAAATATATATTATTGTAGTTAAAATACAACTACTTTAACATTAATAAAATGTATGTATGTATATATATGCACAATAGAATAGACATTCAGTACCAAAAATTTGACGCCAACATCCACTCTTACTATTAAACATTTTTTTCTATTAAAAATGAAAAAAATAATAACTATAAAAAAATATATAATATTTAGGAAAATCTTACCACACTGTGATATACTGATATATGTGATATATTGAGACTAGTTGAGTCAGTGCACTTGAGCACTTTTACTCTCTATTAACTGCAAGGTCTCCTCATAACCGCTCTCAACGCATTGACTGAATTATTGTTTATCACTTCATCAGACAAAGCAATAACTGATCTGAAATTTGTATACCTCCTCGAGGAGCCTGGAATCAATATGAGATTAGTGATAAACAGGGTACATATAATTACAAACGACTTAAAATTGGAATACAAATGCTCAAGTGTTAGATTATTAGGCCTTTTCTTTTGTAAGCATATCACAAAAGAACAACCGCTTATTTTAAAAATAACATATGAAGCAACAACACTACTGGCTTATTTAGTCCAACTTTTTTGAAACCGCTTAACTAACAAGCAGCTCAAATCGCATACTTGCCAAGACCAAAAATTCTTCTATGGTGAACGGTTTATATTTGACAAATAATACTCAATTCTTTCTAATTTACTACTTTTTTCTGTTAACATAAAAAAAGCCTGAAAATACAAATTTTATTCACAATCGTATAAAAAATAGAATATTTTTATCCGTAATTGCAAAGAATCAAACATTATTCATTTTCGATACCTTAACTTCTAATTTTACGAATATTATGTGTTTTGCATATATATAATCCTAACAAAATTTCCTGTTCTTTCAAAATTACCATCAGTAATAGTGCTTACTTTATGTTGCTCTTTCGCGATATGTCCACAAAAGAATGGGCCTATTATCGGACACTGTCAAAATTAGGTTCAGTTTACCGAATTATTGTGGTGTTTTTGAAACTGCAGTTAACAGCATTGATGAGGTGTATTCCATAGCAAACTCTATGATTTTTATCAGCTATTGATCACTTCAAGTATCTAGTATTTCATACAAATTGCACGGTACAGGTACAGGCCTGTAATGCAATGATACCGCGGATTTGACTATATTGAAATTGTAATTGTGATAAAGAATTGTTATAAAAATAATAGACAATTTTTAATTTCAATGTTAGTATTAATTAATATATATTAGAATATAAATTTCGATGTTAATATATGCTAGTTTATTCAAATTACATTTCTTTTGGGCCAACACAGTGCTAAAAAAATTTTTAAAAATATTGCATTTCAAAGTTATGTTAGGTTCATCAATCCATCAATCCCAAGGGTGATTCAATTAGGTCTATTTGCCCATTGTTTTTACCGTACATAGAGAAAATTCAGGGTATAAAACCATCTAGAATCCTTGTCGAAGCTCAAAATGCTGTTTAATGCGAGGTTTTATAATGGATCAAGATCCACAAGAAAGGGAGCTCCTAAAGTCTTGAATGGCCACCGTGTATGAGCTGGGCAGGACAGAGTAGATGAAAGGCATGTACATTGTCTTCTCAACAATTACGATAGATATGATTGTAAGGGAGTTTAAAATTTCTAGCATGGTTTCCTAGTCTGCAGTAAACCTACCATAGGCTTGTTATTTTTAGGGGACTTTTAAGGGTTTGCTTTTAGTGGAAAGTGGTCATATTGCATACAGATGCCTGCATATCGTTGAGTCTCCTTATCTTTTATTAAAAATTTCAGCACAGAAAGAACTTAGTAACAATTTGCATAAGAACTTTCGAGTTACTTGTTGTATTTATCGGGTTTAATTTTTTTAACTGAAGCTATTTGAATAAACAGAATGGTGTCGTGTGCATTTCCTTTAATCATCTATTTTATGTTGGATATAAACCAGAAGATGCTTTCTCCCAAATCTTTTAAATGCGGTGGATGATCGATAATAATTATGCATTTTTTAGAGAAAACAAGTAAAAATGTTAGCTTAGATATCGTTTCCATGGAATTTTGAATATACACTGAGATCTTATTTATTTGATATATGATATAATATAATCAATATTTAAGTATATAATATACAATATATAATATATATAATATATAGCATATAATATATAATAAATTGTATATTTGTATAGATACATTCTATTAACTTTACTCCATCAAGTTTAAAATTGTGAAAATATTCGTGGACTGATATCATCATAATGGATCAATTAAAATATTTCAAAAAATATGTTTTGTTTTAGAATAAAATGTTATATAATGTGGTTTTAAACATGCTAAATTGATGTTTTATTAATTTTTTTCAGTTGCGATAACTTTTTGTTTCGATATTTTAATTGTACTGGAATCATTGCGAAATTGGCTTGAGCATGAAACGCTTCTGGCATTTAGACGGAGCTGCTCGTGGTTGGAATAAGCAAAAAAATCTACAATAAAGTTTTTCTTAATTATTTTTAAATATTCAAAAGCATAAGCAAAATATTTCCAAATTGAATTTTCTTCTCAAACGGCAGAATGAGCAGGATTAAGGCAATCTTACATCCTGTGAAAAAGGAATTCAGCACGAAAAAGTGTGGTTTTGATCACACACCTGCGGATGATTTTGTTAAATCACAGGTAAATTATATTTTACTACAAAAAAAAATGGTTAATATATGGTATTTATATTAAAATTCTTAAAAGGGCGTATTAATTAGGAAAGTCTATATTTGAATATTTCATTTTTAATCAAGTGAGCTATATAGTCTGATCATATAGCAGTTTTGGATACCGTCAAATATATATCTTCAATGGTCTATTGATTTATATGTTTGTACATAATTTTTGATTTGTAGAACTCAATTATTAAATCATACAACCGCGTATTAATACATAAAGACAACTTAATTTACTTAACTTAATTTAGTTTATTCAATTGTTAGTTCAAACAATTCACTCGATTAAAAATTTTATTTTGATATTCATCACTACCCTCGCTATTGTCGTCCTTTTTAGAATATCTTATAAAAAAAAATACTTTTAAAAACTAACTATTATATTCATAGTTATAAAAAAAAATAGTATTGAACAGAATAGTATTGAAATTTAACAATTGAAAATAAAATTATAATTAATTAATTAATTCAATTATTCTACAGCTGGTTTATGATTTCGTTCTAATATAAACACAGCAAGTAAAATTGTTAATAAAAACTTTCATAGTAATAGCAACAAAAGCCCAGAAAAATATGCGAACAAAAAAGTCAAGTACGGCTTTGGATCAGTTGGTTAAGGTGCGCTGATTCTGAGCTTCACATTTGGCAGGACCCGAGTTCGATTCCTGGTACTTGCAGTCTCAAAAAAAAATTATTTACAAATAATTAAATCAAGAATTATTTCCAAGACCACCGATGATGGGTATTTGGCAATACTCGAAACAGCTATATGGTCAGCCAAAAATTCAATTAATTAAAATAATATAAAAAATAAATTTTTGTTGTTGTATTTCAATTTTATTAAAAATATAAATGTATTTAGTTATAATTATTTACTATGTATGAATTGTTATTATTTATATATTTGTGTATTTCCTGGCATATTAATCTTAAGTGACGTCAAGTTTTCTTTTAAAATTATATCGCAAATGTCAAACTTACTTGCATGCAAGCTCTATACTTCCCAATATTCATCTTTTCATCTTTCACTTTTCACAGCAAGAATTCATCTCTCTCCGGGTCTTTCCCTTACTCTTACACTCTAGCTTGCTGCAATAACATCTTTGTTGATGTCGGTTAATGTGATGTCGGAGTTATGTGATTGCGTTTTTATCGATTATCTGTTGAAGTACATAATTGATATTTACCAGTTCCTTAACATCTGGTTTAAAGCATAAAAGCAGTTTAAAGTAAAACGTGTTTATCCTAGTAGTATATGTAAATTCAATGCCGCTACTATATTAATATCTACCTATATTGTGATTTCTTAAATAGATATGGTGGTCGTTTCAATAAAAAATAAGATCCCTTTAAAATGATCTCTTGAAAACACCTCACTTCTTATTTATCAGAAATTTGGCATTGTTTTTCAAATACTGAATGTTTTCACTGATATTACAGTGAAGTCGATTTATGAAACACTAATTATTTAATGACCTATATGAAATCCGCCCCTAATAATTCTGCACAATTATGGTTTCTTAAAATTAGGAATAAAAGCATCTAACGAGATCTACAAATTCCCTTAGTTAAAACTGAATTTGACAATATAAGACAAAAATACGATAAAAGGTTGACAGAACATGTTAATCCCTTAGCTAGAAATCTCACACTTCTATCCACTACTTCCTATCTAAAAAGAGCTCACCGTCTAGCCATTATTTAAAATTCAATAGGTACAAGTAGAAACCACATTCTTTTCTCAGTGATTTGAAAAAGTTCAATTGTTTTCTTAATGAAATGCCTAAAATTCATTTCAAAGAAATATAACCTATTGATTTAAGTAAGACCCGTAATATAAGGTTTACTAATTTTATTTTATATTATACAATGTATACTTTAAATAAAAATTGTAATGTAATAATGTAATAAGTGATAAGATTTTAAAACTTCCTAAAAGTCTCATTGTAAGAGAAGATACAATAAGTAAATATATATGTATTGAACGAAAAAAATATCTCGATTTGAAAATAAAATCTACTTCATATATTCACTTATAATTTGAGATCTTCTTTTTCCCAATGATACGCCCGGAGGTTAGAGAATCTATTATCTACAATCTTTTATATTATATATAAAATTTGTCCAACAAAAAGTTTTAAAGTATATTTTAATATATTTTAATTTCATTCAACTGATTTGAAAAATGGAGAACAATTTGAGGTAAAAGGACTTGAATATAATGATCTGCTATCATAAGAGTTTATAGGTGGTTTCTTTTTTGAAACTATATTAAACGCATCCTTACTACCTGAAAGAAAAATATCTCTAATCAAGCGTGATATGTTTCGACCCTAAAACATTTCTCAGAATAGGTGAAAAAATTGCCAAACTATGGCCCATTGCTCTTTTACAAACTAAATAAGCGAAGTTGTATATTTCCCTTGTACATACAGATATATAGTAGATGTTCAAAAGAATCCTATATATCCGGTGTAAAATGTATCCGAATTTTTAAATTAAAAACTAAATTTAGTACAATTAAAAACTAAATTTAGTAAATATTAGTACAATTTATTGTCTACAAATAACTTATTACTAATAGTAATATTAGTAATAAGTAAGATTAACTATGATCGCGGTATTCCGCTCCGTTAGAAACCGATATCCTGTTTATTTGTAAATAGCATTATACTTAGTTACTATGTAAAATTTAAGTACTATCTATTACCAAATATGCCTGTATCAGCTGCCTTTCGTTGATTTTTTTCATCGATTTATATAAAATCGTTTCGTCGATTGATATTGAATCTTTTGTTCATATTACTTGTAAAATGGATCATTTTAATAAAGGTAAATAGACTAATTTTAAAATTTCTTAGCCATGGCAGCTTTGTTTACAAAACAACTACATATTCACGGTTTCTAATAACATACTAAGATAATGCCACTTCCTCTTTCTAAGGCAGTGTGACGAAATAAGATTAAAGTCTGAATTAAATTTACCAGAGAATTGGCACCATTTTCGAAAATTGAATTGAGAGGAAGACTATATAATTCCCGATTTCTTGATTAGAAAAATGTTGCTCTCCAATTTTTCTAATTAAACAAGAAACAATTTTTAAAGTATGGTAGAATGAATAACTTTATAAAACAAAAATTTCTTCTCCCGTAATTTTAAGTTTTACTAAGATGATATTTGAGTGAGAGTTCATTCTATATAATAAAATTAAATATTAGATATGCATGTAGTACTTGTTTTATTAATATTTTGGTATTGTTTTAAGGACTGGTTTGTACGCTATCTTTATCGGCATCAATCCTAATAGACATATTGGTCAAAAATATCTTTTACATTTCATTTCATAGTAAGTTGGTTTAAGGTCTGAGAAGTAAAGCTCTATCAATAGGTTCACTCGCATGACATTTCTCATAATGGGTGAAAACTGCCAGTGAGTGAGTTTTGTTGGAAAAACTATTCCAACGAGTACAAATTAATTTAAATTTACTGCTTTCGTCATAGGGTTTTCTTAAGCAGTGCTAATATGGCACTATTCTGGACATACATTTGTAGGTAGTGAATACTCGATATATGTTTGTAATACCCCAAGTTTTTTTAGTATTTGATACTGTCATTCCAATGTATGACATTTAATGACATTAAATTTAATTTATTTTAATTTAATGACATTTAATTTAACTTAATTTAATTTAATTTAACTTAAATTTTTTCTTAAGATCTTGATTTAATATATAATAATTTCATATTCATATACAAAAGTATGCAGCTGTCTATGAGCCCATGTAATATATTTCCACCTTCTTAACCTTTTGATAATACAGTTTATGGAGCTAAGTATTTAAGTTATGCAATGTAATGGATACTATTGCAGTGACCTCTTTTCTTCCATCAAACGCCCACTTAAAAATTTTCCAGAAACATTTATGTTTACCAACAGAAGTAAAATATTAAGAAAATATGAAATTTTCAAGGTAGTTGACTGTAGTTAAATATGCGAGCACCGACAGTCATGGGGACATTTGTAGCACATGCTTAAAATCCCAAGAAAACTGAAAACCCAAATACCAAGTCAATACGTATACGAATAAATATTAAAATTCGAAGGATTCATGATATAAGTAAGCGTTCGTGTCCTCATAATATTTAAACTAAAATTTAATGAAACGCCCAAATCAATTGTTTTTTTTTCGATTAGGGTCAATGTACAAATCAGTCCGGTATAGTTCGTTGACGACTGACTTCTGCGGGGTTCAAATTTTTCAAATCATTAGAGCAGTGGCACTTTGTTCCATTCGTTCGTTTGACAGGTTGTGAAATATTCGATGGATACAGTTTTGTGGGCGTTTCGATTATGTGCGGTGTCGGTATTGATGCTAATGGGTCACCTTGAGAATTTTCAAATTAATTGTGGTTGGATAATGAGTTTTCGGAAAATCCAACAAAAAAAAAACTTATTAACCCAGCACATGTTGCACATGAGCTTTACATTATGTACAAACGAGACTTATGCGACCTTGATAGGTAAATATTAAAAAATTCCTGCAACCGTAGTCTGTGCTTATGTGCTTTGAAATTAGTTTATATAGGAAAATAACTATAATTTATTTTTTATAAGTGTATTTACATATATATATATATAAGTATATATGTTTATACAGTTTTTATGTTTTGCTTTTTAAATATTATAATTTTCTGTACTAAGTAATTATTTTATAGCACTTCGGTTTTATTACTTTCAGTGGCAAAATTGTAGTAAAAGTAATGCATATTTAATTTATCGTTGGTTTATTGCAATTTTCTTCATCGGTGTTGTTTTGGAATCCATGATTAATCAAGAGGACCAAGGCAGTTTCTGGCTGTACTTTATCTATATGACCAACTGGGGAATAATTCTGTGCATGTTAACAAATTTATTGGGTGCTATATTGGTAACGACCTGGCATTATCATCCAGAGTATGCAGGTGGGTCTTTTTATAATGTAAATGTATTATAAAGACGATTATCACTAAAATTTTATAGACAAACTATTAAATATGGAATCGTTAACTAGTCCATTTCGAGTCTATTGGAGCATGCACATTATTTCGCTGGTTGCTTCAATTATAATCACTATCATATATTGGACAGTGTTGTACAATGGTAAGCATTTAGTTCTAGAAACAAATTATTAATAACAAATATTTTAATTTCAAAACGCATAAAAAAGATTAAACGTAGTACACGTAAGTTCACTGCATAATTTTAGGTTAAATTCATTACAATAAAAGGGCGTCGGAAAATTTCCATTAGAAAATATTTAGAGCCCATCGTGATATAGAAGCAAGTTACACTAACTCCTGTATACAATAATTTCCGTTTAGAATCTTTGCTGAGCCATTTGGCTTTCCAGATGAAATTAGCGTAAGATGAAACCTAAAAATCCTTTCATCATTCTCAGATAGTATAGCCGCTTTTATAGCTCTGTCTAACCACAGTTCAAAACCAATGCTGCTGTACAATATTAGTGGCTTAGTTGCCAGATCACCTGTATATACAGAGTTATAAGATTAAAAACAAACTGACTAGACAAGGATCAGAAGCATCTTCTACAGAAAAACAAAGTAAAAAGTATTTGGCTAAAAACAAATACCGGATCATATATTAAGATTACGAAAAACTATTAATGATATTAACCGCCAAGTTATATTTTTTGAGTAACGAAAGTTCAACCGAGCAGCGCTAGGATTGAACTAGAAAACCACGTGGTATTATTAACAAACTCTTACATAGTAGAGGGTCTCCATTCCAAAAAATTTTATATCTTCTTTAACCAGATATAATTAAATTTCAGGAATAAAAAGGTAATAGAGTTTCTGCATATTACTATGCAAATTTCTAGGTTAAGCAAGATTAAGGCATTCTACTATAAAACTCTGGACACTGCAATAAAGTTGCTGGAATGCTTGGTAAAGAGTACACTCTGACCTGCCATAGAGTAAGCTTTAAACCTAGCGAATATCCCAAGTGCAGAGCATCTAAAAAAATTCGCTCTTTAGAACTTATAAGTGCTTTCACAGCATTAGGCATTACTTGAAAGAGGAAGGAAGCTCTATCGAGGAAGTTCTGTCGCTACTAAAACCAACCAACCATCTATACAGTATTATTATTTTAAATAAATAAAAAAAAATATTGTTATTTATTAAATAACAAAAAAATGTATTTTTTTTAGCAATTGCTTAGTAAATAATTTTATTTTATTTTCAGCTGAACAGAGCTCATTAAGCGTAACAAATGTCCTCACACATGCCTTTAATTCTATTTGTATGTTCGTTGATTTGCTTATAGTGGCACATCCTCTACGTTTATTACATTTATTCCTACCAGTTCTATTTGGAATAGTCTATGCAATATTTTCCTACATCTATCAAATGTTGGGAGGAATAAACAGGTGAGTACTATTTGATTGCGTACTAATATGTTCCTATTAACTGTAATTATTTTATTGTAATTTATTTACAGAAAAGGCAAGCCATACATATATCATGTTATTGACTGGAGCCGTCCAAAGAACGCATTTCTCACAGTAGTCGTAATATTAACATTATGTATCATTGTGTATATGATACTCTTCACTATCTATAAGTTGAGGACTCTACTTTATAAACGTTTGAATAGTTCCATATATAAACTACCAACAAATGTTAAATGTACTGGAAAATCAGTCAAGAACACAAATATAGGTGAAAGCGGTACTGGTATACAACATTCACCCTCGGGAATTTCTATGGTTTTAAGTAATTTTAGTGGTTGTGAAAATCCTGCTTACACTGTAAGCAGCGAAAATATTAAACATAAGATATAGGCTAAACTGCTTTCAATCTTCATGTAGTCCATAGTTGTCATATAGAAGAATTTTTTTTAGTATAATTATGAGTGTGATTTTATTTAGTAATTGTAAAGATTATAATTTTAGTGAACATTACTTATTAATAGATAAGTTCTTTTAAAACAATGTAAACACATAAAAATAACAATCAATATAAATTAGGAAGAAATGGTTCACGTTGTTAGCTAAATTAATTGAATGAATATATCTAAGCTGTGGATACGACTAATTATAAGAATAATGTATTGTTTGACTAACAAATTTCATGAAAATAAATGTTCAAATATTTATAATGAAGATTTTAATAGAAAATGTAAAATAATATCAGATGCTTTTTATATTAGCAATTTTTGTTTTAACTGTGAGTCCTTTGGATTTTTATTTAACATTATAATACCTTTATAAGATTATGTTAGTTTTTAAATAAGAGAAACATATTTTATAATATCGTTTGTAAACTTTTAGTATATTTATATACATATCAGTAGCGAGGCGTCAGCTTTTTGGCAAGGTGTTTACAATTTTTTCAAAACAGAATTCCAACTATTACGTATTCCTTCTACTTCTGAGTTTTGTCCTTTCCACAAGCAAATAGCATACAAGACCAACAAAACAATTTATTAAATGTTCGCAGCCTGTAATCCACTGGTTTTTATGGTAAATAGCTGTAGGAAAACGGCGACTTAGCACAGATTTCGACATTTACATCAGGTACCAAATTCTTCATATTTGGAGTTGGTCATTTTATGAATTAAAACCTTTTTTCAGAAGATCGTTTAAAAAAAGACATTTCAAATCTTTAATCACACATTTATCCATTTCTAAATATTATTTTTCACTTGAAATTTCTTTAATTTTTTTCTTTACTTTTACCATTTGCTAGTATAAAATTGCAATAATGACTTTGTTTTTGATTTACTTCCAACCTCTACATAAGAATAAGAAACTCTCATGCATTCATTTACTCTTTTACTTCGTATTTACTATGTACGGTTCAGTTTTTATACTGAACCATTTGCCCATATAAAACAGCAACCGTGACTTTGATTGTATTTGCACGCTTTGTATAAACTTTTGGTTCAGTTTAGTGGAATGATCCTCTCGACAAATGTAAAGCGATTTTCGCTCAGTCATTTCTTTTCTCTTTTGTACTTACTTTGCATAACATTGGAGATTCACTTTTTTTATTGAACCGCTTGAACGCATTAATTAAAGAGTTATGATTATTTTACGTACATATTTTGCGGGGCTTGTTTTCTCTTTTATTTTTATATTTGTTTGTATGCTTTGTGTTGTGTATTCAATATTGAACATAGGTCCAATGTGAATGTTATTTCATTTGCATGCTTTGTAAGCAGCGCGGTGCAGTTTTTATTCTGAACCTAAGTATATTTTAAGAGGAATATGTTTTCTCTTTTATTAATTTTAAGTAATGTTGGGTGTAACTAACATATGCGAAATTTTGTTTATATTGTACGTTTTGTGTTTATATTAATCTGTTTGAAAAAGCTATTATAAAATATGTTACATAGCAACATAGCGAGATTATTTACCTAATAAAAAAAAGATCTAAAATGGAAGCTTTGTTAAGGTGTTTAGTGAACACTCTGAACGATTCGACGCCTCGCCTCTGATACATATGTATGCATTACCATATGTGCAGCAAACGTGAAAATGTCATTCAAATTGGTACATAAGTCTATGTTATAGTACATAAGACGATCCTTATGTACTTTATAAGGTGATATTTACAGTCGGAGTAAAATAAATCATTAGTATATAAAAGAAACAAAAAAAGAAAGGAACCTTTCTTTCTGAAGTGATAGAGAGATAAGACAAGTACAGCTATGAGTTTTTATGCGTAAGGTGGGACATGCGGAGCATGATTAGTAAAGTCCTTTTCCCACAATGCGACGCTTATTACAGTACAGCCAACATTAGTGAGCTAGAAGATTAGAAGATGTTGGCTAACAACTGTCAATATAGATGTAGTCAGCTACATCTATCTGTAGTTGGATGTACTCAGTCACATAATGGCAAATTTTTTAATAGATATCTGACTGATATATCCAGGGCAGAGTGATGATTCTCTTGTGGAGCAAGAACTGTCCTAGTCTAATTTGAATAGAGTATAGCCATGTCGTAAGAAGTAATTTGTCACGCTTCAACTAAGCTGTATATTTGTCTATTCCAATTTTAATGTCTAAAAGAAAAAAAAAATTTATAACATTTCTTCATTCTTTTAAAAAAGTCTCCTTCTGAAGTGATAATAAACGGTCGGATTGGCCGGGCTAGTATCAAAATGAGTTTTTTTATCGTTAATTTCAGTTTGGAGTATAGTCAGAAGCCATACAAAGACAAATTAGATAAATATGTTGGATGATCGTTACAAATAATGTCACTTTTGGTACTATCAAGGACTTATGAACTTTGGTACTCAGTATTCCATTTGATCTCCTGTGTTCTATTCTACGTTCAGTTGCTGGTAAATCGAAAATAAAAGAGAATATATTATTGCCTTATTTTTTTTCAAATAGTAGTATTGCTATATATATATTGTTAAATAAATTCTTTTCATGTCCTGTGTTACAAATCGATGATGGGCTCGAATGCCTAACATTTATTTTACAACGATTGCTATCTAACAATGACTTAATAAATTGGACAGATTATTAGGCGCTTAATTTCTGCAGAATTTTTAAATGATTTGTTGTCTTATCCATTATAATACGCGCATTCTTGAGTATACAACTGTCTTTATGTACATACTAAGTTAAGGAAAGAATGTGGGTGGAATATTTAGAAATTGCAGTAAGTCAATATTTCTTGAAAGAAAAATTTAATGACTTATATTAGTTTCCATTTTAAAACATGTTAAATGTCACTGAAACTAATCATATTTTAAACCAATACGAACCAAAATGGAAAATGACTAAATCAATACATTTTTGTAATAATTTTTTCTTAATAATTAATATTGCATTTTAAAAAGGCTAAAGTACTGCTGGGAAATCTGAGTGCTGTGTCTGCTTAAATATTAAAGACAATAATTGTCACGAAATTCTCTTCAATGTGTTTTTAACAATTACTTTCACCTATCATATAAACATTAAAAAGAGTATATTAAAAAATTTTTTTTATATATATACTATATACTTAACGTAGCGTAAAGTCCAATGGTTGGTAGATTTTTAAAAGGATTAGTTTTAATCATAAAAACTGAAATACAATCGATAGTAACTAGAATAACTTATTCTCTCAATATGACACAGTATTTATTTGAAAACACACATCATCACTAAAGAATAAGTACTATTAATAATAATATGTCCAAAAGACTACTCATTTTCATTCCGAAAAAATTTTTCTAAAATAGACGAGTATGTCACCATACTAAATATTTTAATAAGTTTACGAATTGCAAAAAAACGAAGCTTTGTAAATGGACTGGTAGCTTGAACTGTATCAACTGTATCAAATCTAACGAAAAAACTGGGTATGGTTTTGTAAGATCATCATTTGAATAGTAGAGACTTAATAAAATAGTAGAGACTTAATGCCTCAAAGCACATGTCACTTTATCAGTGACATTCGAAACACTTTGGAAAGAAGGAAGAGATTTTGAGGTACTGCTTTGTCACTGATGCGTTTCGATGGGAATAGACCCATTATTTTAAATAATACAAGAAACACACGTAAAAAGTGTTATCAATATGGTATTAAAGTCGTATTCCTTTTCAGAAATCGGTCAAGAAGACCAAAGGTCTCAACTTTGTTATGGAATACAAAAAGCATTTTGTTAGTAGAACACTTCCAAACGTAGACTATTGTTGCAACCTAGTGAATATTAGGTATAAGATGCATGAATTTGAAAAAAAAAATAAATAGTAAACTGCAAATAAATATTTTTTTCATCAAAACTTATTTATCATCCTATTCGTTGGATTTAGATCCTTATAGTTCCTTTCATATTTCAAAAAATTCCTGCGTAAAAATCAGTTTTCATCAAATAAGGAGGTTTTTAGTGCCATAACGATTCATATTGCAGATTCTACAAAAAACCACTACAAAGAGAGGATCTATAAATTAAAGGATCTTTGGAAAAAGTAAATTAAAGAAGCGCGAGATCAATCTATAAAATAAATTAATTTTATATTCAGTTTTTTCAATTCTGTTTTGAGAACTTATTGAACAAACTAGTAAAGCTAAAGTTTCCATATTTACTATCTATATACTTATATAAAAATTGTAATTGTTATTTTATTATCATAATTTGCAATTCAAGCAAATTATATAGGGACTATAAACTGAATAAAAAATTTAAATATTTCCTAAAACCACTGATAATGAGTATCTGGCAATACTCGAAAAAAAGTTGTATGGTCAGTCAAATTTCAATAAATTAACTAAAATTTTTGTTTTGTCTTTTAATTTTTATTCGAACCCTGCCAACTTTTAAATAGTTTGTCTTTGTCATAAAACGCTCTCATACCCTAAAAAAGTAACTTCTAAATTGTTTTTTTTTAGATTAGGTATGAGGACATTATTATAAGTTCATTAAAAGAAATATCTTCGAATTTAAATTTATGCATCATTTAATAGAATTAATCCAGGAGATATCACTATCACATCTTTTTGGCTACGCAAAATTGTACATATAGCGCTTTATCCATATAGATTTAAAAACGGGTTGGGAATTTGTCTCCACGTCCTTTAAGTATTATTATGACACTTCGTGCATATAAGTGATTTATAATGTTATATGCTTCCTGTTCAAAAATATGGATAAATATTTTTTTTTATTTTATATAAAATTTTTCTGAAGTGATCGTGATATATTGCAATGTTGTTGAAGTCCACACTTTTCTTGACAGCAGTCTCTACCAATTGCGAAAACTTTACATTTGTAACTATTAACAATTCTTGATTTAAGTTGGCTTAATTGATGCCGATTCACAATATCACTAGAACGTAACACATAATAGAGTTCGACTGGAACTGGCGCCGATTCTCGCAAGTTCGCCGTTACGTGATTCGTCATTTTGCTACTCCCTGCTCTTTCTTAAACTCGACTTATTTTTGAAACATTGATGAAACAAACACACCATTCCATAACTAAATTATTTACATTAGTTTCAATACTACATCATTGCTTTAATCAATGGATTAAGGAGTTATTTCAACGTCTAAAGCTTATTCTACCTACAATGTAATATATTTCTCTAAAA